GTTTATGCTTGAAGTTTGACGTTTTCGTTTAATAATGGTTTATGCTTGTGATCATCTAAAGCTACTTAAATTCATCAAAGTTTGAAACTTAATAGGTGTGTTAATTAATCGTGTATCATTATTTTCTTATTATCCCTTTTATTAAACACAATTAAGTTCCCAAATTTGCACCGCCTGGAAAGAATCAATGGGCGTCCTTTCGGTCATTTTCCAAGTGGGAATTCTATGGTTATGTTTCGGTGCGCACATGGTTTTATAACAAAAATTACAGAAAATTGAATTAGTAGTCCCCCAGCTTATTTCTCTGTATAAGTTAATCCCTAACTTTTAAGGAAAGTATAATTTGTTCCTCGAGACTTTTTTGGGTACAAATCAATGACGTATTCATTCCTCCCGCCGTCCAAATCTTTGTTAATTGAGTTAATTTCGTAAATGATCATTGATGTTCAATTGAAATTTTAAGTTGGTTCTTAAACTATTTTTTTGACCAATTTGGACATTAAAGTTAAATTTTCTTACACAATTTGTCACTCTATTAACAATATTCACCTTACATCCAATATGTTCAATTAAACCTTGATATCAATTAATGGCTTTTACATCTATATCGTCAAAGTACAAATGTTGAAAATAAATGGGACTCTTAAAAAAATAACATTTACGTACAATTAAGAAAATCTCAAACTGCTCCCTTCAGTTCTAACCATATTTGCACCACTAATTGGATACAAAAGGGGTCGTAGAAAAGCTCAAGTAGAAGGCCAATGGAAGGAATCAATGCTATAACAATATTAGTCTATGTCAAAATTCGAAGACTACATTTCGAATTTGACGTTAATTGAGTTAAAAAGTGATCAATTAAGTAATATTATTTAACTGAGGTGACTATATGACTAAAAAAAAAATACTTTAATGATCAAGTTGATTTTTTGTTTGAACTTCAGTGATTGTATAAACTTAACTCTTTGTTAATTTATTACCTAATTTGTAAAAATGTACTATCTCTAGGCATCAATATTTGTTAGGAAGAAACATTTAGCCCTCTTTGACCTACATTTCTCAAAACCCATTTTTCTAAAAATTTAATTTTAATCACATACATTATGGGATATGACTTTTATCAACTTTTCAATAATATATTTTATTATTTTTTTATCAAAAGTTACTAAAAATCTTATTTTGTTAAAACCAAATAAGGTTTAGCTTTATGACATCAAACATGTGAGAACTACATGGATGGTTAACATAAATTTAAACCGTTTATTTCATTTAGGGTTGACTTCAACGTGATTGAACATACACAATGGAAGGAGAAAATTAGCATTGGGCTTCCCAATGGTGATTTTAAATTCACAACCTTTTATAGTAAGATTATAAATATCAACCTATATAACTTCATGACTCTGGGTTTAAAGGTGATTGAAAACCGTCAATATGGATTAGGGATGACAACGAGATTGTAGCTATGTCAACGAGCTGAGCCGGCCCGAGCCCGAGCCCAAAAAAAAGCCCGGGCTCGCCCAGAAAAAAAAAATGAGGCTCGTCTCGAGCCTTAGCAGGCCGAGCCGGCTCGAGGTTTTTTTTTCGTATCAAATCTAATTTTTTTCCTTAAAAAATTTGAAATTAGGCAACTATTTTAGCTGCCTTTATTTAATTTTTTTTTAAATTACCGGCCATTTCGGTCCGTGACACGAGCCGGCCCGAGCACGCTCGGTTCCATCGAGCCCGAGCCGTCTGAATCGACGAATTTTTTTGCCATCCCTACGAGACTGGTATGAGACGAGTTGGTCATTGTCACCTCTGTTTCATCGAGTATTTTTGTTACATTTCTTTATCCCCATACCTGATTAAAGTGGAAAAGGGCGGGTTCGAGGTGGGCGGGGTAGCATTTATTTTTTCATTTTATTTATTTTTATTTTTTATATATTTAGTTAGTAAATATTATTACTTTTTTATTACTAATTTTTTAAAAATAACTCATGTTCTCTTTAGAAATAATAATCAATCTATTTATTTTTGTTTGATAAAAAAATTAAATTTGAAATTAACTTTAAACGGGGCGGGCAGCAATGTGAGGACTATGTTTTCCATACCCGCCCAGTACCTTCTTCGGGGTAATGACCCCATCCTTGTCCTATTTAATTGATTAGGTGGGTAATTCCCACCCATTCGGGACATGGTCCACTCGTATTGGATTGAAAGGAATTTTTTGCCATCCTTAATATGGATATTAAAATTGCAGGTGACTTTCACTTGACTTAAAGTTGAAAAGCAAAAATGTTAAACTATTTAATGTCCAACTTTAAGTCACATAAAAGTTGGATGCAATTTTGTCGTTTATGTTGATGGTTTTTAATATTTAGGGATCCGAATTCACATATTTAAATATATTGGAGAACGAGAGCCTCATTTTTTAAGGTCAAGGATCCAAAATCATATTACCTGAAAGATCGGAGAGCCTAATTTCCCCTTATAAAAGGTTGATAATTGACTTTGGATTTTGAGAAGTAACTTGCTAAATGATCAATAGATTTGTACCCATAGTGTAATTTTATCTATATTGTTGATGCTAAACCCAAAAAGTCCTAAACCTCTCCAATCCCACGGGTTTCATTTCTCTCTGTTTGCCTCCCCTACTCAATACACAATCGGCAAGAAGACATTTTCTCTCGATTCAGTCGCTTCTTCAACCTTCTCGAACTGAATCCAACTCTCTCTCTCCTTCTTTCTTTCTCAATCAATCAATAAACTCACAACATTTACTCTTTTTTATCTGTTGATCGATGACTGTGTTGAGCCGCCTAATATTGAGGTACAGAACAGCCTCAGCAGTTCATGGTTTCTGCACTAGATCTTCTGAAATTGACCTTACCATAGCAGAATCAGCAGTAGCTCTTTCTTCTGCTATTCCTGTTGAAAATTCCAATGTGAAGGGAAGGAATGTGCAGTGGGTTTTTCTGGGTTGTCCGGGTGTAGGCAAAGGCACCTATGCTGCTCGATTGTCGAACCTCCTAGGCGTTCCCCATATCGCTACTGGTGATCTTGTGCGCCAAGAACTCTCCTCTTATGGGCCCCTTTCTTCTCAGGTATCATTGTTTTTATTTCCCCTCGAATTTATGTAATTAAAATGAATGCATAAGCGCACTTAGACGAGATGAGTTATGGAATAGAGCAGGACATAAAAGCTGGGTTCAAGTCTTGCCACCGCCCATATAATAAAATTGTGGACTTACTAGGCTTCTGATGGGAAAAATGTGAACCTGGACCTTATATAGATTTATGTTGCTGTGTACGTATGATTATACATATTTGTTTGATTTGTTTCAGACAAAGTGAATTTTGTCCTGCATATCAGTGTGTATATTTGTTTTCTTAATGTATTTAGGGATTGGTTCGATAAAATAGTGATTACACTTATATGTTTGTTTCCAGAATTGCACATCATGTATTTGAGTACACACTATAGATTTGTTACTCATGTATTGACGTCTTAACGTGTATATACGAATTTTATTTTTAGAGAACTCGAATATGTGCTTCTTTTACTGCTTGAATTAGTGACCAAAGCAAGAGTTTGAACGACGAAGAATGTTGCATTAGTTTTGAGGACCAATATCTACCTCTATTCTTATTGCTAGACCACATATTCTTCTTGTTTTTCCTTATTACTCTACTTTTTTAGTTGAGTGAGTTGGGAGGGTTACAATTATTATTAATTTTAATCTTGTTTATCAAAATAGAAATTGTTCTCTACTTGGGACTGTGAAGAAACTACATCATACAGAACACCCTTGGTAGTTCTGAAATAGTCGAGTTACAGGGGCTTTAGGAACTCCCTGAATTAGAACTATATCCTATGTATAGTACTTTTAATTAATTAAATCACAATAACTTACCCCCCCAGGAAGATGAAAATAGAAAGAGGAAGAAAGAATATTGGTGGTTCATAAATTAAAAGGACAAAAATGAGGAGCTAGTAGAAGGTTACAGAACCTTGGCAGAGCAGTTCATGAAGATTCAATGTGGCGAAATGTGGTCCAAGAAACCTGGTGTAGACGTTTACATATGTTCTCTTTGTTGTTTTATCCCAATATAGTTGAATATAAGTGCCCCCCTAGTTCCCGGAGTCATACACGCATGCACATAGTGTATTAAACTAGCAAGAATCTAATCAATGTCCTCCTCTCTAAAGTTTAGCTCCTTGCTATCTCCTCTGCTGCTGTATTTGCTTTATTATTTTATTTCAAAATATTTAATAAGTGTTGGATAAGTGTTCCTTCACTGGTAAAAGGGATACAAAATTTATAAAATTGAAGAATCTAAGAGTATTAATACAAAAATAGAGCAGTTAAATTTAGACACTCCAATATTTGTTAAGAAAGTGGTGCTGTATTGGCTACCTGGTGTTAAACTTCTGCTGTAAACGTAGAATCTGTTTGGCAAAGCTTCAAATTGCTTATTAGCCGGTCAAACTCTATTTTTATCCCACATTCCATAAGACTCGTATATTCCTTGGGACCTACTACTTATAATCACTTAAAAGCTTTGGCAAGCAATCACCTAACTTGTTTCTGTAATGTTATAACTATCAATTCTTTTTATGTCTAATTGGGATTGGGCCCTCAATGGTTGAGGAGGTTGCCTAGAACGTGTTCTGAGCTTGCCCCTATTTTGACTTGAGGTGTGCCCTTGATATGTGCCAGTTGTCATATGAGAATAACTTTTAAAGGTGTGCACGACACAGATATTTTCTAAGTTTGCCTCGAACATGTTCTTAAGGAGGCATTATTTTAAAATTTAGAAATAGACTTATTTTCATATCCTAGATACTTTCCAATTTTAGTTATATAATTATTTGTAGTTTTTCTTTTTAATATTTTTTTGGTAATGTGTCAATGTTCTATAAACTGTTCAAGATGAGTATTCAACTTCATTTGAGATATCAAACATACTTGATCCACTTTCTAATTGTAAACTACTTGTAAAGCATCATACCCACGTCTTTTGCTCTTGCTAAGGGCCAGGAAGTTGAAGTTGTATTTAAATGTGTATGAAATGGTCAAAGTGACATTTTGAGTATATCCACTAACTTCACCGTACATTGTGAAATGAGGGTATTGTTCTGACGCAGGATGCTACTTTTTCTTTTTCCTCCGGGTTTGTTTTCTTAGTAATTTTGATATATAATATTGCATAAAAGATGCAATTCAATATGAAGAATTTTTTTTGCACTCTAATTTTCAATATTTGATTAACTATTTTCTTGTTGTGCTTCGTTTCACTGAGGGATCTGTATTTTAAATTTTTCCCTGGAAGTGTTGCATTTGTATTTGAGAAATTCAGCATCAACTCGATGTGCAATATTCTATCATATATGCCCCGTATAAATTGAAAGATTTTATAAGGAAATCACACTCCTGATCATTGCACTATATTATAACATACTTGTAGCTGACCCTTATTGCCGTAGGAACATACCAATTTGATATTGAGCAATAAGATGGAGAAAGGGGGCAAAAGAGAAGAATTTAGGGCAATGAAATAGTTTATTTATATAATTCAGGTGCATTTGTAAAAATTGCCCTAATTTCCTTTATATAGAGAGAGGATTTTGAAACTAAATAATTTTTCTATCTAAACAATTTTGAAATAAAAGATAACATTGTCTAAATCAAACTCCTAAGAATTAACTACTATAATCATGATAAACTCCAATTCTACTTATTCATTGTATTTCACGTGGAATAGACTTTTAGATGCTTTCTTATTACATAATTCCTCCCCGACTGAAAAGAACTTGACTTCGCTGAGTTATAATACAAATAGGCATTTGAAAGCTTTGCATCTAATTAATGGAACTCTTCGTTAGGAATCTAAGTAGCGTCACTAAGAAGAAGATCTTTCCAACGCACCTGAAACCTTAGGAAATCCCATTTTGGGAAGTAATGATCTATCATCATGCACCTCATCAATAAAATTTTGAAGTGAAAATGTGGTGATGGGTAGCCGAGACATGGTTGAGGAGCTTGTCCTACAAATATGTTAGAAGATAAAATCGGAGGCTTGAATATAGCTCGATAAGGATATAACTTTGCTATATTGAAAACATGATTAATATTTAAGCGTGATGGCAAATTAAGTAGACAAGCGTTAGTTACAAGTCTTTTAATAATAAGGAAATGGCCAAGTGACCTAGCAAAAAGTTTTTTTGCAGCATATTTTGGAAAACGTTCAAGTGCAATTCGTATCATGATAAAAGTCAATTTTAAACCCTTTATGCGTACGATGTGAATCTGCTATCATTTTATAGTGGTCATTGTTTAAAGCAAATTTTCTTTTAATCTTATCATGCAAGTCATGAATGTGATTAGCAAAATCTTGAGCAGAGGTATCGGGACGAAAATCATTAGGCAAAAGAACAATTTTCAAAAAGTAAGTTAAACTTTACCATACACCAGGAGCAAAATGGATCAGTAGCGGATTAGTAGCAGTGGTTGGAGAGAGGCAAATGAGCACTGGTTGGAGAGGTAGATGAGAGTGGTTGAAACACGGAGTAGAAGACAATTGGAATTGTCGTACAACGACGACACAGCTTGTAGGTTGGAGTGGCTGGCAGGCACAACATTGGTGAGCAAATGAAAATATGTTGGTGGTTGGCTTGGCATAGCGTCTACTTACATGGTGCTTGGAGAGAGAGCCGGAGAAAGTGGCTTATGGATTTATTGTAGATTTTTGAATTGGCGATAGCGATGGCAAGCTGAACACGATGTGGATTGTTTGTTGGGCGATTAAGATGGTGATTGGATTGTGGTCTACTTCGATGTCAGTGATAGGTGGCGAGTTGTGGAGCTGATGGACAGTGTTCGTTGGAGCTCGTAGGTTACAAAGACGGATCTTGATGATAGATGTAAGAGGATGGAGGCATAGACTTTTTTTTAACGCAGGCGGCGGTTAATTATGGAGGTATGAGGGAGTGGTGGCGATGTGGCAAGGTTTGGCGGTAAGGGGCTTGGTGGTGTGTTGGGGCATGGTGACTGGTTGTATCAATTTAGAGTTGGAGGAGAATGATGTAGGTTGGCTTATGGGTCGGGTAATGGATATGGGCTTGGGGGTATGTTAAGGATGGGCCTGTATGTGTTGGGAATATGGGGATAGGCTATATATATGTTGTCAGTTAATTGGTTTTAGGTAATAGGTTGGATATTTTGTTTGTTTATTTGGTTGGAGTTATGTGTATTAGGGAATTAGGTTTGAAGAACAACAGTACAACTTGCTTTCAAATAAGCAGCAGATTTTGTAACAATTTATTTTTTTTATTTTTTTGCGAATAACAAAAAACCTATAACTCAACTATTGTTGGCCGGTGAAAACTTTCGGCCTATGCTGTATGGAACGATTTTTTTTTTCCTTTTACTAAGATATGCTATTAAACAAAAAGGGATTACTATGGCTGAGAAGTTTTTATTTTTTTAATTATGAAAATGTTGGTGGGTTTTAGATTTGAGAAGGTGTTGGCCAAAGGAGAACAAATTGCTCTACTACTAAATTAAGATAGGAATTAGGTTTGGACATTTCGAACCACCCGAACTGAAATCGAATTGAAACTAAAAGTTCTGCTTCGGTTCCAAAAAATTAAATTACGAATCGGAACCAAGAACCGAGAACCGACTGGGTCCGATTTGGTGTTGGTTGCTGAACTAGAACCGTGAGTATTTGAATGGTACCGATTTTTATATAATTTTTTATTTTTACAATTTATAAGTTGGATAAAAAAATAAAAAACCTAAAAACTCTAATTTGGCAGTAATTTGTTTAAAAACTCTAGGCTCTTATCACTAAGAAATCATGACAAGCTTCTCCTTTATTGCATGTTACCTTATATCGGATTGTTGCATTTTAGAGGTTAGTACGTTCTAATTTTTGCAATTTAAGCTTCCTATGAATAAAAAAGTTAAAATTAGGGTTGTGGTATAAGTTGATGAATCAAAATGTTTTTTCTTTACAATTCGAGTTTTTTTTTATTTTCTTGCATTTTTACAAACTTAGCCCCTATTTGGCCCTTTTTTTTTCCAAAACTCATTTTCAATCACGTATTCTTCCATAAAATAATTTAATGCGTAAATACAACTTTCCATATTTTTTAACCACACATTCTCTAAAAATTACTATTCTCAAACAATGACTTTTAAGTAATTTTTTAAATTTTTATTAATAATACATGGTAATTGAACTTGATATGTTCATAGTTTGGGCTGTGGTGTACCCTTTTGGTTATATTGAGTTCGTGGTCCTTTTTTGAAATATAATTTTTCATTTTTTACTCAAACAGAGCGAGTTCAATACTGGGATTGCAATTTCTTGATACTATATAGTTATGTATCTAATTAGTATTTTTTGTTAGTTCGTTTTAAAAATAGAAAAATTTAAGCATTGTCCATAATAAAATTATAGGCTATAATATGCCTCATTTATTAATTGAATAAAATTTCTTAAGAAAAAAATCATTTCTTCTCAAACTATAATTTAATTTTTGTTTTATTTTTCTCCTATTTTCATGGTTTTTAGTATCCACTATTTTGAGTAATGTAGTTAGATTTCTTAGCTAATTTTCTTCCTTGTAAAAATATTGTCGCGTAATAGCGTATTAGGTACGTATCGAAAGGGCTTATGTGGAAATGTTAATTAAATGCATATAAAAAAAAAATGTTATAGGTAGAACCGAACCAGAATCGAGGGTTCGAGTTTGGGTGCGGGTTTGGGGTTGGGGTTGGGTATGACTCTAGTAATTACAAGGACCCAAATGGTTTCATTTATAAAATACCCGAAGTATAATGGTTGGTTTCGAATATTGAAATATACTCAGACCGACTCACCCGATGCCCAGGCCTAGCAGGAATGTACCAATTTGATATTGAACGATAAGATGGAGGAGAAAAGTGGGATCAAAGAGGAATTTAGAGCGAGGAAATAATTTTATTCATAACCTAAATCCCTTTATATAGGGAAAATACTTTGAAACTAAATAAACTTTCAATCTAAACAAATTTGAAGTAGAAGATAACATTATTAAAATCAAACTCCTAATAAATAACTGCTATAATCTAGATAAACACCAATTTTACTTTTTAATTGTTGTTCGCCTTGAATAGACTTTTAGTTGTTTCCTTGTTGCATCACTTATCTTCATGGATTTGTGCTTCTTGGCCATAAATTTCAGTTACCTTAATTTTATTGTACTTATAAGTGTGCTCTGTGCCTACTAAATGTCTAAATCTGTAAGTTGCATTTAGGCCTGGTTTGGCTATCCCGGATATTAAAATAAAATTTCATTCATTTATATATTTATTTTTATTTTGGATACTTTTCCCTATACGTGAGACATTTCCCTGATCAAATCTGATTTAACTGAACACTCGGTGCATGTGATTTGCGAAAAATATTGCATTGTCTTTCCTAACCAAAAATAATACTTGAGAAAGAGTTCTTCTGAATGGTATTGGGGGACTAGCTAGTAGATTTATCTCATATCTTAGGACTAGCTAATAGATTTATCTGATTATCTCATCTCTTTAAACTTTTTGTTTTAGTTGAAGTATATATTTTTTTGAGTAACTACATGCCTAAACATTATGTTGAACTACTTCATCTAAAGCTTAAGATTTCAAAGATATTTTTGAGTAACTACGTGTAATTGTGCAAAGCAACTTTAACTAAGCATGTATCTAAATTCATTTTATTTCCATGATCTTTATGTGCTCATTTGATACAATCTAATATCCTAATATTTTGTGGAAATTCCAGGCTGAAAATTCTGTTTCTTGAGTCATACTTGGAGAAACTAAGGACTCACATGAGTTGTTACCATAGATTATTAACTAATATAGTATCCTTGGATTCCTTTTTTCTATGTTGACGTATCTTATATTTACCATCTCTTTTCTTCAACAGCTTGCGGATATTGTTAACCAAGGGAAATTAATTTCAGATGAAATTATAATAAATCTTCTTTCTAAGCGTCTTGAAGAATCTCAAGCTAAGGGTGCAACGGGCTTTATCCTAGATGGCTTTCCTCGGACTGTAAGACAGGCGGTGAGCATTAAGTTTTTGATGTTGTAGAAATACCAAAATATTAGATTGGGTTTACAATTACTGATTGACTGTATATGAATACTTCTATTACATAACTGGATCAGCAAGCTTCCTTTCTTAGAATTAGACTGGGAAGTTTCCTTTTTCTTTTTGAAACTAAGCTCGCTTTTGCTCAAAGTTCACTCTGCCTTACAACATTTGGTTTTTGGAATGATATTTTCTCTTCCAGTCTTATTGTGACGAGAAAAATGCCAGAAAAGACATAATTCAAGTTTAGTAAATTTGAAGATTCTCGAAACAGATAATACTAGATAATCTGCTTAAGTTAATACCCTATCTACCTAGCTTGATCTATTATAAAATTTCTCGGGTGTAGCTCCCGCTAAAAATTTTTTGAAAGCGAATTCGAGAAATCTTTAAATTAATTTCACAAGATTGACCAATTAATTTTTTGTAATAATATTGTGCTACAGTTCTTGTTGATGACTTGGCAAGGTTAATTTCTTGTAGAAACATAGATATCCGGGGAAACTGCATATTTGAAACCTTTGTAGTGTCAACCAGGACAGAATATTTGCATAATTGTATGGCATGATTGTATTATATATATATAGGCAATATAAACATAGTTGTGCTTTCCATAATAGTTAGCCTAGACTATAGCTAATTTCCGAAAATCATCATTGTAATAGGAAAGGTAAATTACTTGTGAATCTCCATTTAAAGACAGGATCATTGTCAATGAAATTATTCAATCCAATTCCATCTTTATTGACGTGGTATCAGAGCTACAATTTTAAATCTCGTTTGTGCTTTCTTGTGGGATTGAGTCTTATTGTTTTGGGTACCAATTTTGGTTAGGTTGAGTGATCTTTCCTGGCTGTCGGTACATGTGTCCTTGCTTTCAATGGATAGAGAGTTCATAGGTGGTGTCGTCATCTCAGTTAGGTTCGATTAGGGTGGTTGGTGTGCATCAATCGTTGGGCTCTTTGGTGTTACCTATATGGTTTGTTACCATATATGGTTCGATTTGTATTTGGGAAGAACGATGATTTCTAGGAATTAGTTTATTTCCTTTCCTTGTATAGTCTATGTTTGTACACTTTTTATACACAATAGTCTTAGCAATAAAGAACAACGATCTTTATAGAAATTCACGAGATTATTCAGTGTCTTTTGTTATGGTATCAGAGCTGTGGTTCTGAATGCTTACCGGGTGAGTTTTTTTCGGTCGGGCCTTCCTGTTTTGGTATTAGGCTCGTTGCGAGTGTTCGTTGCTGGTCATGGAGTGCTCGTTGCTGGTCGTGGCTGTATATTGGCTCGCGATCCTCAGTTTTCCGGTTGTCTTCTTTGGGTTTACAGTTACGACGAGTGATCTGCCTGTTGCCTTTTTTTTCGCTGGGCTCGCCGTTCTCGCTGGGAGATATTAGTTTCTCTCTAGAATCTGTAGCCTCCAGTTAACGGGCTTCTTCTGGTTCTGGTTTTTCCTGTACTGGCTTCCGGATTCCTTGGGTATTTCATTTGGGCCACTACTTAATAATTGGGTCCGTTGGGCTCATTTGGATATTTAATTCTTTGGTCCATTCTTTAATATTTGGGTCTCTTTATTGGGTTGGATATCTATTTCATAATGTCTTCTTACAAATTAGAATAATTTCTTATTCGCTTTAAAGACAAAAATTACTCAGCTTGGGAGTTTCAATTTCAACTATTTGTTAAAGGTAAAGAGTTATGGGGTCATCTTGATGGAAGTGATCCTGCTCCAACAGATGTTGATGCTTTATCGAAGTGGGAAATCAAGGATGCTCGGGTTATGACCTGGATCCTTAGTTCGGTCGAACCTTAACTTATTCTTAATCTGAGGCCTTACAAAACTGCAGCTAATATGTTTGCTTATCTTGGCAAGGTTTACAAACAGAACAATACCGCTAGACTTTTTCAATTGGAGTTTGAAATGGCTCACTTTTCACAGGGTAGTCTATCGATTAAAGAATATTTTTCGGGTTTTCAAAATCTTTGGGTTGAATATTCGGATATTGTTTATGTTGATGTTCCAGCTGCAGCTCTATCTGCTGTTCAAACAGTGCATGAGACAAGCAAGAGGGACCAATTCTTGATGAAGCTACGTCCTGATTTTGAGGCTGTGTGATCTAATTTGACGAACCATCATCCTGTTCCATCTCTAGATACTTGTTTGAGTGAACTTCTTCGTGAGGAGCAACGTGTCATTACCCAAGCTACCATGGAACATAGGGATACAGTTAGTGGTCTTGTGGCTTATGCAGCAGAAGGCATAGTTTGAAAAAACGTAAACGGGTACTGAAGCGTTTTTTTGTCACGAGGCGAGGCGTAAGCCTCAAACGTTTTGAGGCGTAAGCCTCAAAACAAAAAAACTTAAGTTGAAAAATTAGAAAACAACATAAAATTATATAACTAATGGTTCCAATGAACAGTAAACGATCATGAATATTTTTTAACAAAAAAAATAAAAAAACAAAATCCAAAATATATTAATAGTTGAAAAAAACAAGTACTTAATCTAATAAGGAAAAAAAATTACTGTCGCAACTTCCCATACATCACAATCCTATGAGTGGCATAAACCCGTAACATGTGTCAAAAGGGCCGGTCTGAGGCGTACAAGAGGCGTGCAGCAGATTCAATTAAGGCGTACGCCTCTCAAGATTAGCCTAAAAAATACCGCCTCGAGGCATACTACATGAGCCTCACAGTGAGGCGGGCCTCTTGAGGGTTTTTTCATCCCATGGCAGAAGGTAGGCATAAGGGTCGAGATATGCGTGCTGTCTAGTGCCATAACTGTAGAGCTTTTGGTTACATTGCTTGGGATTGTCCTAAGAAACTCTATCATTACTGCAAGAAACCAGGTCATCACATCACTGTTTGTCCCATTCGACTTGCAAGGAAGCCTACCACTGCCTATCATGCCTCCACTGGTGCCTCTAGCTTTGTAACATTGCCTGCTGCCTCACATATTGTTCCTACTCCCGCTCCTGCATCCACCCTCACCCCTGAAATGGTACAACAAATTATCACTTCTGCCTTTTCTGCTTTTGGAGTCTCAGGTAATACAATCTCTTCTAAGCTTTGGTTCTTCGACTCCGGAGCCTCTAACTACATGATCAATACGGTTAGTTATCTTTCCAATCTACGAGTCTATGATGGCAATCTGAAACTTCACACCGCTAATGGCAGTTCTCTGTCTATCAGTGGGTGACCTTTCCTCTTCCTTAACTAATTTGTTGTGGCCCCTCACCTCTTTACAAATTTAATTTCGGTTGGCCAATTAGTTGATCATAATTATGATGTTCATTTCTCTCGCTCTGGTTGTGCTGTGCAGGATCCGGCGTCCGGGAAGATGATCGCGACAGGGCTTAAAGTGGGACGCCTCTTTCCTTTGCATCTTTCTTCCTCACCTAGTTCTCCTTTACTTTTCTTTGCATTTAATGCTATTAGGACTGATTCTAAATTGTGGCATAAACGTGGGCCACTCAAACTCTGATGTACTTCGTACTTTATTTCGCTCTGACTTGTTGGGTAATAAAGCATGTTCTTCCGATCTTTCCTTTGATTGTATTGTATGCAAAATTGGCAAAAGTAAAGTTTTACCTTTTCCTTCCCAGGGATCTCGTGCCTCACACTGTTTCGATATTATTCATAGTGATGTTTGGGGGATTTCGCCTATTATTTCTCACGCACGTTATAAGTACTTTGTTACATTCATTGATGATTTCAGTCGCTTTACTTGGGTTTATTTTTTAAGGGCCAAAAGCCGATGTTTTTTCAGTCTTTCGGCGCTTCCTTGCTTTTCTTGAGACACAATTTTCTAGCGGCATAAAGATCTTACGGTCTAATTTTGGGGAGAGAATATATGTCCAATGAGTTTCAAAACTTTCTCTAAACTAAGGGTATCGTCTCCTAGCGTTCTTGTCCTTCAACGCCGTAGCAAAATGGTGTTGTTGAAAGAAAAAATCGTCACCTTCTCGATATGGTGCGAACTCTTTTACTTGAATCATCTGTACCTCCTCGATTTTGGTGTGAAGCGCTTTCCACTTCAGTTAATTTAATTAACCGTTTACCCTCTCCCACTTTAAACCATGCTTCTCCATTCTTTAGGATGTACGGACATTCACCGTCTTACTCCGATCTGCGTACATTTGGTTGTATTTGTTTCGTGCATCTTCCTGCTCATGAGCGCCATAAACTTACTGCTTAATCTGTTAAGTGTGTTTTTTCTTGGTTATGTTGTATTTCAAAAGGGCTATGTTTGTTATGATCCTCATGCTCAACGCATCCGTATCTCTAAGAATGTGGTTTTCCTTGAACACCAATATTTTTTTCAGTCTCATATTGCTCTACCATCTACATCTTTATGTGTCCCACCCCACTTTTCTGATTCTCCCACTCCTACTGTAGCTCGATTTAAACCTAGGCTTGTCTATGAACGACGCAATCGTGAGTCTGGTGTTGCTCCTCCTGTGCCCCCTCCCGATCTCGCCAAACACCTGATCCTACTACGATTCCCGCCAGTCTTTGTAGGTCTACACGTCCTTCTCGACAACCTGATCGGTATGGTTTCTCATCTCCTCTCTCTCTTGTAACTACTTTATATGCTATTTCCATCCCTTCTTCTTACAAACAGGCCATGGAACATAGAGTGTTGGCAACATGCAGTACAAGCAGAACTTCAGGCAGTTGCGGAGAATCACAATTTGGGATGTGGTGCCTTGTCCCCCTATGGTGAAACCTATTGGGAGTAAATGGGTTTTCTCTGTGAAACTTCGTTCTGACGGCGCTATGGATCGGTACAAAGCTCGTCTTGTGGCTCTGGGTAATAGGCAGGAATATGGGGTTGACTATGAGGAGACTTTTGCTCCTGTTGCTAAAATGACCACGGTGCGGACAATCTTAGCTATTGCTGCCTCCCAATCTTGGAAACTCCATCAGTTGGATGTGAAGAACGCCTTTCTTCATGGCGATCT